AAGGGAGGAAGGGAGGAAGAAAGAAATGCAGGAATTAAATTTAGAAGACATACAAAGTCATGCATACATTAGACACCCATCATTTTGTGCATGATATGAATACTTTACTGAATCACCTGTAAATGTCTCTGACAAGTAAAGTGTCATGGAAATATGTGTAATACCAAAACAATGTCCTAAACAATGCACATATTCTGTTGCCACCAACACCAAGAAGAACTTGTTTATTGATCAACGATAGACAATTCATTAACACAACAGTGCAATCCGAATCTACAGACATTGAAAAAAAAAGTCATGTTATCAAAATGAATGTTTCTCAGTCCAGTTATTATCAGTTGATTCAAGAACATGATTTTGTAATTAGGAAGTTGTCCTTCAGTAGCAWTATGGGGTAAAATGAGAGCTGATGGCAGTRCACTACTGTTWAAATTTCAACAGTTGTGCATGGCCCTCAACTCTCATGATTTGGTAAGTTATGAAAAAAATGAGTTTAATACCTTGGTTGTCATTGGTGTGGAAAAATAGACAAAGWAGCTTTAACTTTTCCTGGACGACATCTGCAAACCAATATTGAAATAAGCTATAAAAAGTATATACTAAACAGATCAAGTTGGAAGAAATATATCTCACCTAAACTATCAAAACCTGACGGATATAAGTATTGATGAACATCTTCCATAAAGAATGACGATGCTGTTGGTTGATTTGGTGCACGGCCTGTCTTACACTGTAGAAACAAAAGAATGGATATCAAACATACCATGAGCATGTATGAGAGCCAGGTAGCACCGCTCGGAACGGGTCTCATGATAGGTTGAGAAAACAATGGACAAACAATAGATAAGTCTTCCAACAATATAACAAAACCTAACCTAACAATAGTGGTGCTGTACTTAAGGAGCAATCAAAAAGCAGGTTTCAATTGGTACTGCATTACTCATGTATGAACATGAATTGTATAAGAAATGAATCCTTACTTTATATTGTCATTGAATAAAGATGAATTGCAATCTAGTTGTTATATGATAGATAAGTCTGCAACCTATCACAGAGCAGGGTAGGGCAAAGAGAAAGGAGCTTTGAAGTAGACTATATTGGAACAAATTCTGGTGTGACATACCAACTCCTCTGGAAAGTGAATCAACCATTTAAAGCAAAGGAGGCGATAGTCATTTGGTAATGTTGGCTGACCAGCTAAGATAAACAACCTTTAAAAAAAAATTCACATCTACATCAGTGAAATTACTTGGTGTTATTCCTAAGTACAGTATAAGTACAGTATAAGCACAGTATAAGTACAGTATAAGTACAGTATAAGTACAGTATAAGTACGGTACCTCTGTAATAACAGGATATCATCACATTCTTGGAACATATCAACTGAGAACTTGAGCTGTGTTCATAATCAAAAGGATCTGATTAATAAATAATGCAAAGACTACATTCCTAGTCTATTGTTGTAGAAGTTTAAGACTGGTACATGGCTGTCATAATGCCATTCATTCAATTCCCTTTACTCCCTTTATTATTATTGATAGTTTTAAAGCATATACATGTTTTCAAGCAACTTACCCTTAAGAACAGAAGCATGTGAAAAATAGAGATATCTGAAGATGAGATCCACTGAATAAACTGAGACATGAAAGTCTGAAAAAAAGGAAATGAAGTTTACTGTATTATTGCTCGTTTATTGTTATCAAAAATAAGAAACTTACATTTGGAGAAAGCTCTGAATGCTTAATACAATGCATTAGCTGAAACAAAGAAGAATCAAATGTTATGTAGATCATGCTATTTAACAAACTATTATGTCAAGGCAATGGAGACTGCTCAAAAAGAAAATATTGTGGAGTTGTATTGTACATGTACCTCTAACATGGAATAAAACAGTGCAGTGGTATTCAGGAGTCCAAGGTTTTCCATTGTAAAAGATATTGCTCTTTTCAACTCTTTGGTGTKCACTTTTTCRGGAAGAYACAATAAAGGGACACCACAGGGTGGAGACTGACAATTAAGGTAAATTATTCATTAAATCACAACTAATAATTCAATTTCTCTTTATAGATGKATTTGGACTTACTCGAAGAGACAACTGAAAAGAGTCAGCTGTGACGTYCGATGCAAAAACCAAAGGCTGTGAAGAAATCAACACAGACAAACATCAATAATACAGAGTGCAGTTGTTAATATATTTTGGCAATAATAATATGTATGTGATGTCTAAAGATGTGGAATTACCTTCAGGGGCTCTGTATAATCTGTTAAGAGTTTGTCCAAATAGTCAGTCTCCAATCTAAACAATATGTCAAAAGATTTAGCTGAAAAGTCTTTGAGATTAAGATGCAGAAGAGTTAATAAGTTGAATTGAACTAGGCTGTACTGTCTTTTGAAGAAAGATTATTGGACATATTTTCTACAGGAAGGATTGACACAGTTCATTACATCAATAATATGCAATAGAAGAAGGGCTTTACTCTATGAAAGAATTTGATGCCAGTTGCTCAATTGTATGGCGCAAGACTGTAACAAACAAAACCTGAAAGAAAGGAAAAAATTATACACCCTTTTAATAAGTCCCCAGGTATTGATTTCTCCGCACTTGACGTCAAATTTATTCTTTTGAAATTTTGACAATACAAAAGGAATTCAAAAGAATAAATTTGACGTCAAGTGCAGAGAACACAATACCTTGGGACTTATTAAAAGGGTGTATGACAAAACAAAAACAATGGTTGCCCAGCAAACAAATAGGAGTTACCATATAACTTTGGAAGATAGGACTGGATTCTGCATCACAATATTTGTACAGTGTGCCTAGCTTTGCCTGAAATATGCCCTAAAATATGAGAAATACTAATTATTAACTTGTATTATATCCCATATAAATTCATCATGAATATTTGTTTAATAAGACATCACTGTAATTTAACTTACAGGGTAATTAAACTCTATTTCCCAAACACATTCACATGCAGCTTTTCTAACAAGAAGGTTACTGGAGCTTTTCACCTGAAGCCACAAAAAGAACATTGCATTTTTACGGCAACAAAGACRTAAGGACGTCTCAATTTGACYRTTTTTCACTTTTTGAATTTCATTTATGATAAACATTGCAGCAGACCAATCTACATTTAAAATGATTATAACAGTACTTGCTAATACCTTCTCAATGATGTCTGTCAGTACTCCCACAAATGCTACAAAGACTTCATGGCTTTTGATCTAACAAACAGTAATAAAGAAAGTTTTACAAAGCTTATAGTCTGCATATSTTAAGATGCAATTTTCTCCTTCACAGTCTATGCCTTAATTACATTAAAGTGAGACGACCAGTAAGCTTACATGCTAAACAACTGTCAATAACTGTTTATGAGTGTGGAAAAAGGTGTATATCATTGCAAAGACATKCACGGTTGCCTTAATTACATACAGATGTAAATACTTACAAGGAGATCAGAAGARATGACCAGACATGTTCCTGTTACTAATATCTATAAATTCAGTACAGCAATTCAAATCAGACAAGTACAAATTTCAGGTATTACACAGGAAACCCAAAGGTTTTTACTAACTTGACTAAGATAGAATTGTGACGGGTGGCCTGATGGATGTAGAAACATRTCYTTTAAAGACCCAACAGCACATTCAATGCTGCAATACAATGAATGGAGTAAAAGGCAAATTAGAAACCCATATAGCCACTTGTATACTCATACGTAAATGACTTTATAACATTGAAATAACACAAGATTGAAATCTTATAATAGCTAGACCTGTACCTTGTTATATCTGAGGAAAAGCTTGAAACCTTAAAAAAGAAAAAATATATTTTTATTTAAAGTAAATAACCTTGTTAACCAATTTAGTTGATGTTTTCCTTTACCTAGTATTAATTATTAACCTTTATCATGAAAGGAATCTGATTGCTTTATTGATTCAATAATGAATGGTTGATGTTTTGATTCATTGACTGATTACAATCATAACTAGACTATCATTGATTTCCTTGCTTGAACTAAAATGATTGATTGCTTGTTTATGAGTGGATTTTTGGTTGGTTGATGACTGACTCGCAGCTTAATATTTGTCTACCAGCTTGACATGACTGACTGGTTGGTTGGTTGAAAAAAGCACAGCAGGATAACTAATGAATTAAATGATTGGATTTTATTCACCTTTTCTTGCAAAGCAAACAACAGCTGTAGTTTAACATACTCAGAAATATTTTCATGGCACAGTTCCTGTTCAGAAAACAAAGAAAGCTTATTGCATTGAAAGATTTAGTGATTGATTTCTCAGATGTTAGTGAGCATCACTACCATACCTCAAGGATATCTAACATGAAATTGTCATCGATTTGTTGATTTCCTACTAGTTTCGTCCCTCGAAATTCCTTGATTTTAGCCAACCAGACCTCATTCAATGACCCCATAGTAAACTACTAAAGAGTTTTACAACTTTGATGGTAAAGCATTAAAATCAGCCTAATTTTCGTCCATTTTGTTCCTTTAAATGTATGGAAAAAATAATTCACTTTCTGTYCGCCATATTGTCACTTCAACTCTCTTTGGGACTGGGTAGGGGAATAATTTATTACCGTGCGGGGAGGGCTGGSGGGAAATGTGAATTTCGATTCAGAAATGTCTAAAATGGCAATAAAAAGAGACAATGCAATACTGAAACATTACGAATGTCCCTATCTAATAGAAAGTTATAAATGTAAAATAATATACCAACTATGATTGTTATTTAAATAGATATTGGAGCAACCTTATCATGTTTCTTCCAACCCCTCCCCACTCAGTCACGCTTGTATCACCTGACAATGGCGATAAGGACGGTGTGTAAGTCTATTTATCGTTAAGCGAAAATGGACGTGAAAACAGCTTTAATGAAGTGCAAAACCTCTCTAGGAAGATTTGTAAATGTATTGGCTCGAATACCGTTCTTTTATTTCCTCGAAATTGTTTACAACTTCACATCAAAATCGGATAACTCCACATTTCTAGGAGCTGTTGGTAAGCTTGTAACTTACATGTCTCTAGAGCTATCGATCATTTAACTTAAGTATAGAGGATCTTACCTTATTTTACGGCGAAATGCCATATTTCTTCGTCGATTTTATTCATAAAGTATATACTGTTAGCAATTAGAAGTTTAGTCTTCCATGTAATTTAGAGAAAAAAGTGGATGTTTGTCGAACGTGTTTCTACTCATGTTTTATATCAAATTTCTTGAAATCCTTGGTGATTTCCACGAAGTCATCATTTTCTGTCTTATGGCTTTTTAATATGGCTTATATTTAATATTTTACAAGTTAAACATATATTTTTACCACTGTGGATGTATATTTTTGAATTTTATCCAAAGTTAAGCTTAATGTTTATTCGTCCTATTTTTTTAACATTTCTTTCCACTGTTAACTTAAATTCTATAAGCTTAGTTTTCATTCAAAATACAGATTAGAAATGTATGTTTCTCTGTTATCTGTTATTCAGTTAATATCATATTAAGAAAAAAWTTAGGTTTTGCAATCATTTTATTGTGATCTCTCAAGTTTGCTGAATTTCTAKGGAAYGAAGTATCATAGTTGGTTGAAATATGAAASCATGTCTGGAAATGAAAACATCTTGAATGACCTCTAAACTTCAACTGATAYCATTAACCAAACATTTTTCCTTCAAAGTGCTCTCTAGTTCTAATAACGTTTACAGTTTTTCAATAATTATACTCACAAAAMATTGGAGCGTTGGAGAATTTTTTCAATACGACTGTTAACACTGAGCTCAGTTAGACTTCTTGTTTTGTCTAGGCTCATTGCTCTAGTAACATTCTTGCACAATCAAAATTTGAAAATGACCCAAAATATCATATATATTGAGGATGTTGATGTTTTATGTTTAATAACTTTAAATACATGTAATGTCTTGGCTTTAAAGGGTATTAGGGTATATTGTCTCTAGGGAATACAAATATTCTTTCTTCAAACAAACTCTGCACTGATAAATGAATTTTTAAGTGGCCAAATGATGGTTTGTTTTGTCAARTTATCAGAAACTTGAGGTACTATTATTTTTAAAAACCAAAAGAGTGTGGAATTTGAAGAAGAAAGGTGTTTTCATTTTAAATGTCTTCAGAATAAAATACTAGAACTTTTATAATGCAATGATTGTAGAAAGTCCAATCATTGAATAACATTCGTATCACTGCAGAGACCTACATGTACTTCTAGAGAGAGGTTCATTTTGAGACACGTTTGTTTTGAGACAGGTCTTTATAGACTCGCTGGCGGTGGCCTGCTGATTACATTATGTAAGGGACAACCTCTCATGAATAACATGAGAGACAATTAGTTTTCTAATCATCTGTCAATTAATTATGGATGAGGGACAATTGGACCTTTATTATATTCAAGAGGGGCCAAGGACAATGGCTCCTGCAGTGGTATGATTGAGAATAACTGATGGCTTTTGAGTGAGGGTTGTTATTGTGTGATATTAACATTATTTTAATGTTTTTTTAGGATATGCAGTTGGTCTTATTGGTTTATTTACAGAGCTTGATCTTCTTTTGTCRTTTTATGGATGGCTTATTCAAGTAGTCATAGCTTTTATTATGTATACTCTCGTTCATGAAGTCAAAGGAACTTCACAACTTGCTAACGACCAAGCTGAACCTTCACCTGGWTATTTTCAGTTGTTTGTGAGTGACAACCATTTTTATGGGCAAGTAATTGCAGCTACAGGACTTACAGTTGCAGCTCAGGAGCAATGGACAGAACTCAATCCTGTCTGGATTATAACATTAATGCTTACGATTCCTTTTGGTGTTGCCTTGRCGTTTAAATCAATACACATTACATCACTTTTAGCGCCTTATATTTGTTATATATTTCTGTTCATTTATGCATCATACTTGTCGTACAAAGGTCTGAAACTTGCTGCTAAGTTTCTTAAAAGTACCAAAGAAGCAAGTGACAATTTTTGGAGAATGGTCGATGGTTATGGTTGGATTCCTGTCTTTCAGTTCCACTGGAGAAGACTTGAATTGTCAMGAGTAATCATGTTTTTATGGTGGATTAAGTTTGGATTGAGAGTTTCACAACAAAAAGAACTCAACTGGTTCTTGACATTTGCAAGTTTTGGCGATACATGTGCAGTATTACCAAACCTGTTTGCAGCAAGCATGGTTATTTCTGAAATATCATTTAGTATTTTATTATTCATTCAAAACAGTTTGCAAGGTAATCATGTTGACTTCAGTGAACCGTACCTTTTCCCTGGATTTAATGAAGGACTGGCTTTCTTCCTCTTAAACATTCAAATTGGAATCAATAATGGAGGAACCGAGCACCGTTCGCTTGTAGTTAGYTTAGTTCTTTTTGTAACTTTATCATTGCTAGTGCAAGATGTTCTGGAAATTACTGAACCRGTATTAGCTGTACTTGGTGCTACATACACTGGTAAAATGAACTCAAAACATGTTAAAGTATTTATAGTAGTAGTGAGTTTATTTATAGTACCAGGCAGTCTAATATATGTACTTTGTTCAACGTTCTCACCTGGAACATGGCTGTTTATCATTCTATCAAATAGCGTTGTCACTATGGTACAACTGGCTGGATCACTTAGCATCTTTTTGATATTTATTGCTAATGTACACTTTAGTTTTGGGTGGAGAGACTTAGATGACTGTGTATACTATGTCAATGCTATATCTAAAGTCTTYGAGTTCCTGGTTGCAGTTGTGGTGGTATTCTACAGTGTGGTGTCTGCATTAGCTGGAAATTGGAGTGTTATAGGTAAGCTAAAACAATCAAACTACAACATTAGTATTTTCTAAACCAACTTGCAACTAAACATAAATTTGCAAACAGGGAGACATACAAAGACACATGGAAGAATCAGATCCTTACTCCCTTCCCCCAAATAAAAAAACTATTTACGAACTGTATACATCTGATGACCTGATACATGTCAATACACACAAGCAACTCCCTGTGTTTTTYGGGCTTTCTTTGTAACAGCTGAGAGTCTGGGAATATCCCAAACGTTTTGATATGTCACTTTTGTTTGTATTTTCCAGGTACTGCCATTATATTTGTACATGCTTACTTCAATGTATATACTCGTGCYATGGACGGCTGGAATAACTTTTTRCAAAGRCGAAGTTCCATAAAGAGAATCAAGTCTATGCAATCAGCCACAGAGGAACAACTTCAAGAACTCAATGATGTCTGCTCGATATGTTTTGACACTATGAGGTCAGCMAAGATCACCAAGTGCTATCACTTCTTTCACAGCTACTGTCTGCGCAAGTGGTTGTATGTTCAGCAGAAGTGTCCTCTTTGYCACAGAGATATTTTAACCGAGGATTGACTATTACCCATATTGCAGCAAATAGCTGCAGTAGGATAGCTATATCAAAAGGAGCTTCAATTACTCTAATGTAAACAGCACAGTAACATTCAAATGTTTATTAAACATATATGCAGATCAAAGAAGAAAAATCATTCCTAGAAATTATTGTYGGAGTTGATTGTAGTATAATATAATATTGAAATAAAATGATTATAGAAATAATATATTGAGAAAAGTATGTTTTCATTGTAGTTCATATAACAGCAATGTCCAGTGAATGTTCAATCTGTTGAAATACTAGCATATTGCTATAATTGGTGAAATTATAGGAGATCAAAAAGCACATTTTTTTTCATGTGTTCTATAGCTGAAGTGCAACAACTTTTTTTGAAATGTTTTAAAAATTATGAACATTTTGTGCATTTAAATTTATTTTTGCAGTTTTCATTACCTTACTAATATTCATAAATTTACTGTTTTTTTTTAATGTAACTATTCAAGACTGACATTTGGGGGACAGGGARCCCGTGAGTCGAGTTGAAATCGAGGCCAAGCAACAACCATCATGGCGGCGGGATTTTCAAATATGTCTCACTGAATTCCCAGCTTGCTACGCCAAAGGCAAGGGCTCCTTGTGCTGCCCAAAGTCCTAATATGYACGGTCTGTCACTGTTGTACGGTTTGGAWAACTCCTTGAAGAATTTCTTTACAGAAGTGCTGTTATACACTCGGAAAAGGTTTCGTCTGTTGAACGTGACGAAGGCGAGAACKAACGAYGGTAAAATGCAACCAGTRAACACAGAGATTGTTGTGCCTCTTATACRTGCACAAGGACTACAAACAAGATCTCTTGAAGCAAGTGGTTTTGATATCAAGYGTTTCCAACCATACCATGCAAGAGACCCACAAACGACTGGCACCAAGATGGCTGCTTTTCGACCAAGTAGAACATCATGAAAACGCGGCATAAAGCTAGCTATTCCAGCACTAGCAAAGCCAATCAAAGATGCTGGCTTCGGTTGAGGTGATGAAGTAGTATTTGACATTTATAAATGACAATGAAAGCGTTCCAAAATTGATTTATAATACTTCGCCGCTTCGTAGATGGAAACTTGGGTTAAATATTAACCAGGCGTTACTCTGAAGAGAAGGACTGGGAAGGATAAACTTTTGAACAGATCTAAAGAATTCACGGAAATCCAGGTACTCCAAATCTTTTTCATTATTATTATTAATTATTATTATCAAATTATTTTAAATGAGAAATTCACTGATCCAGTTCAATAGAAATACCTTGCATCAAATTTCACCAATACTTCATTTATCACGTGACTTGATTTCCCGCCATACCGCAAAATCATTTAAAAGTGAGCACGCGGTCAGAGTTTCGAGTGAGTTTTGCGCGAAGTTTTATTATTACAATTATCTTTAAAAAAATTTATAAGGGTCTATAAGTTACTGCATTCTTATTTAAAATTAGAATTGCTACTTTGATGGTATTTATGAACTCTGTAGCCACATAAGCCATTTAWTAGATGCTGATGTTGATGGATCAGAACCAAACGATACACATTATAATATTTTATCATAATAGTTTAAAAACGGTCTGTAATACATTTTGTTAACGCGCATACCTCGTCATTGTTCATACGTACCTAGTGTATTTCATTAAGAGTTATGTCTAGTTCAGTATKTAATGTTTTTTAGTCCATGTTAAGAGTAGATGACTGATGTAAGTACCTTTCGCTCAGTTTTCTTCGTATTTGACTTATATTTTGGCATATATATTTATTGTGATTATATTRTTTATTTCTAGTGGTAAACGTAAAAGTAAGCGTATCATTTCGCATTTGTACGGCCATTTAACGAATTTCAAACGGCTGCTGAATATAGCTAAAAAAAATGCGATGTCATCAATGACATTATTATGCAACGGGTGTCTCTCATATTCTACWTATTGTTGATTATTACAAGACGTTTATTATTGGACGACAACCTGCAATGTCCATTATACAGAGGTGACTATCTGCGTTAGGTTTTAAGTAAACAAAGGGCGTACTATCTACTACATTTGGTGAAAGCCGTTTATAWATAGTATCTTGAATTTTTAATGATGACTGTGATGTCAAACTACGATACAAGTAGTTAAAACATTACGTGACTATGTCAGCATTTCCACTCAGTTTGTGAACAACAAAAACAAACGGGGAAGGGAAAGAATRACTGGCAAACAAATCGACAAGAAAAAATAATGTTRAAMAGCTCTCCCGATCACCAYAATTTTACTTTAATTTTGAATGTTGTGAAGTGACGCATCTCAATGTACCTTTAAATCGGCTCGGACGATAAAAACTGACGAATTTACAGATGTTTTTTTGTGTTTTTTTTTAACAAATGTTCTATAAATCATACATAGCCTAAAGCACGAAAACTAGTCATTCAATGTCTGTAGTTTTGCCAATTTTAAGTGGTTTGTTACGATGTTTTGAGAGTTTCTACGTGAAAATAACCCTCACRATGTAATGTTAGCCTTTTGACTCATCTTTATTTTTGACATCATTTTGTCAAGGGGGAGGGGGTCCGTCTAATCGGAAATATGTTCGTGGTCGGTCGGTGCACTTGGTAGTGATTTACACCATATGTAATGGTTTCTTTGGCCATATATTAAAAGATAGTGAGAAAACAGGTGTCTTCTGGAAATATTTTTGACAGAAGAAACTTAGCAATAAAAGCAACGGATGAACGGTTGATTGGATGTCTCATTTCTCGTTTTTATCATTGCTGAACAAGCTTAAGTACATATGGAAGCAATTAAGGAGGGGAAGGATTCTTCGAAAAGCAAAACGTGATGGAAGACAAGCATAACACGCTTCTAAATGGCTTGTTTACTACATTCTCAAACAATTCCGCCCAGCACACTATGACAACACCCCTCACAGGTCGTTCCCGATGTTCCTCTACTCTTTGTTTGCAGATAGTATATTGACGTGAAAAKCCATGCGGGGTATATTAATAATATTGACAKTGTTCTTGAACATACTGCGATTACCACYGCTGAGAAAGTTTGATTTGTCGTACTTTAAATCACCGCGATTYTAATAATTAAATTACATTTGTTTGGTGAATAGTATTTCTAAACTATACATGCATTACGCAAATGGCGAATTCATCGTGATAAGTGAACTAAAAAGACGATGATTCCTTCTCGAAAAAAAGATGAAAGCATGACTTTTATTATATGAAAAAAAGGTTGTCACGGTTACTGGACGAAAGCTGAAATAATGACGTTTAACCYACGAAAAATACTGMAAYAATTATAAGATCTACTGCACGAAAAATAACAGTGATTACGCTACAGCATTCTGATTCCGTGATAAACTCAGTTTGTAAGTCAGTAGAGATTTTATCCATTACCAGAAAGGAAAAAAAAAACAGAAATAGAAACTGAGTTTCGACGACTTTTGCCATTATTATTTGTGGGGATTTGGCTAAGACATAATTGCTACCAAAGTCTTAATTATTTCTGCATTAACGTACAAAAAGAGCATGAAATTTTTACGATGTAGATATCCGCTGTATTAAATATAGGCCTTTTAATCTAATSATGAAATGTAATGGTAGCCTCCATATATGTTATGGGAAAATGCTGTTATTTCTCAGATTTTCAGATTTTTATTTAGCTTTTTTTCAACTTATTTGTCATTTAATCTTTGAATGYGAGTGAATTACACGCTGTGTGGACCATTTGCTCGAATAGAGTTAATGGAATGATAAATACTATCTATAAAATCTAATGTGATTTCTTTATTTCTTGGCGATTCTTTTCTAGGTGTTTTTTTATGTTTATTTAGATAAACGACCCCAAGCGACACTTCAAATTAGGATAACAAGAAAAACCCGTAGATATTTGTTGTTGTTGTAAATGAATGCTTCCAAGAGGTCTTTTTTATTTTTTTATTTCAATTTTAAGAACATGAAGACTAGAGAGTTATTCTGAAATTTACTGACAAGTCCGTCCGGGTTGTAATTTTAGATAAGCGTTTTGAAAAAAAAAAAAACACTAGAAATTCTTCTTGTTATATTGCACTACAAACTTCACACGACCTCGTTTACTGAAAGATGTTTATTATTAAATTAGAAATAAAAGTATAATCAAGTAAATATATTGGAAGAAGTAAAAAAGTTCTTTTTTTAACATCAATGGTATCGTGCACATAAGTAAAGTATGATTGCAAKCAATCATTTGTATGTAATTTACGTGAAATCCCTCGAAATGAATTGAATCATCTAAATTTAATTATAAGCTCTATAGCAAGGGATTATTTTTGTATGGAATTAACACCCGCAAATTTTACAGTGGGATTTCTCCGTTATTTACACTCAGGCAACCAATCGCGTAACATTGTGCGCAGATATGTTTACTAAGGAAGAACGTTATCAGGCTTTGCAGTCAAAGTGATATGCCAGTCTGTGTAGCTGGCTCAAGAAGTCAGTCCACTGCTGACAATCTTCTAATATTACCAAGTTCTTCTGATTTCAAACTGATCRTGGTAAAGTTAGGTACGTAAATCATCACATTGTTTTACGATAGTTAAGTTTTCTGACCGTTATCTGTATGGTTACATGTATATATCAGCTGTTTTGTGGCACGCAAGTGCGTTCCAACTCAGATCAAATTTAATTAAAAGAAACATAAAAGATTTCCTTGACAGAATTTCTTACCTGATTATTTCTAATTTTACGATCAATTAACATGTTTACAATCCAGTAATATTTTAATTCTAATTTCCTAACTCGTAAGGCTATCCTTTCTTAAATGATCTTAAAATGGATTATCATTTAAGTTTAATGACTGATCTATGGATTACTCCTTTAGACTTATAGTCCGCGTCGCTACCAGATCGTTAAAAAAGACATGCAGTCAGGTGTCATTTGAATAAAAGTCAATTTTAAGGCGTGTAAATTGGAAAGATGAAACTGTATTTGTGGTCATGGATTGAGGCTTGCTTTAATCGATTTAATATCCGTTTCTGTCATAGTACTAACTATGTTTCTGTCCATTATACCATAACAAAACATCGTCAACAATAGCGTGTTTTTGTTCATAACTGCAGAGTCATTCCTGTCGGGTTATAAAAAGAACCTTATTATGATGTTCTATCATTTTAATTCAATGAGTTTTAATTATTCAAAACCGTTCTGTGACGTCCTTGTCATACTCAAACAAACAAACAACTGGCAGGAAGCAAGGATAAAAAKACAGAAAACGTCACTAGGAAATATGAAATCATAGCTCTTTGTGTACTMATTGGGCTTTTTAGAAGTACTGGCATATCATTCAATATCATCAATGACCTTATATTAATATCTTCCAGGCGTATCCAATCAATCATACTTGACTGGYAATTAATTAATGCAAATTACACCGCTGTTTATATATACACGACGATGTTGAATCAGCAAGCTTCACTTTAGCTGCGAWCATGGTTAGAAGCAACATATCWATCTCCACAACTTTACCTCCTGCTACTGCAAGTACTCCAGCAGCTGAACCGGGTCCCGATTGGSCAGTAGCTAGGATACAATGGGGCGCAGTATGGGAAATCCAYTGGATAGGTCTTGGTATCGCTTTTGCTCTRATTGCAGTCCATTCACTAGTTGTTATGGTCATCGCAGATAAAAGTAAAGCCTTTACAAAAAGACTTTTATTCTACGTCGTCAATACTCTGTTACTGGTACTAGGGACAGTAAGGGCTATTTATCTGTGGATCGATCCCTATGAATCCACTCAAAATGGCGTGCAAGTCACTTTGTGGGTAAACAGAGTTCTTTTTGGTGTTGCTTTCCCATGTTTGACGTCTGCTTTTTGTCTGATCCATGTCGCCTTCCTGGAAGTCTCCAAGATAAAACTCGGCTCCAAGAAACTTCACAGCCTTCCTTTCGTCTCTGTGATCATCTTCATGCATTTTGTGATCGTTTTTGTGTCAGACATCACGGTTGCTTTTGAAGCAGACAAAAAAGAACTTTTGATTGTCTGTCAATCTTTCTTCATTGTTTGGGGTTTTCTGAACTCTTTTGCGTTCTTCTACAGTGGAGGGAAAATTATCTACAAATCCAACGAGGCACAAAAACAGCTCAGTCAGATAAACAAAAACACTGCAAAGAAGAGTGGAGCAAGAAAAGATTCCACGTCAAAAGTTGCAAGGGTCATGATGGTCACTGCTTTTCTGGGTCTCGCGTGTTGTGCTTTACAGATCTACTCCATTGTGGGTGTATATGGATTGTATTCCACCGTCGTGAATCCTGCACCTTGGCCTTGGTACGCTTTCCAGACAGGGTTTCGCCTTGTGGAGCTTGCAATGGGATGGACGCTGGCATACACTGTAGTCCAGCCTTCAGAATACGGCAAAAGCGTTCTGTTTAAAACTTGTTGTCGGAAGACTGGGTCAGCAGAACACTGTGATGTTAGCCGTCAAGGAACGGTCAGTCTAACCGTTGCTCCTCAGAACTGTGCATAAAGCCATTTATTNAGGTCACAGTTTAGTGCACCAATCTTCTACTATCTGCACATTATAAGCCTATCACATTTGACTTATGAAAATTGCCAAAGATATAGCTAAAGATGATAGTTTTATTATTCGGATAGACGTGACAATCATGCGTTCAAGTCTTGCCATGATCATTATGATGATACACAGATATTTAGTATCAATGGGGGCGTCATATCGAAACAAATATAGCGGGTATAGAAAAAAAACAGAGCAATTACATGCATGATATATAGCAATAATATATACATAAATAATATATGATTATCCAATGTAATGTAAACAATATCGGCAAATACATGGAAGAGGCAGCAACAACCAACAACAAAGGTTTTTAGTGCCAATTTTTGAATTCTTTTATTTTATAGCCGAATATTTGGCAAACAAAGTTGTTGTATTATGTATTACTTTTGAATTTGAAGTCTATATGTCGTAGAGATATACTATAGATAATATATAATCCTAAACTATGAGCTAACGATAACTTAGCATATCATAGGGGAAAAAAAAGAAGTGTGTAATATATTTAATTAGGCCATTATGACGKCAGTAAACGTGAGAAAACATCTAATACACAAAAAGTTAAGAGTTATTATATAGTATAGCAACAGATTTATCACTTTCGTCCATGTTGAGAAGAGAAGAAAAGATAGTTTCTTTGTCAAAAAGCAATCTTCTGTCCGGAGTGAATACTTAGGTGTATTCTAGAAATGTTCTTGTAATTAATCGACAGTATTATGTGTCACAATGGAGGAAGATGTTAATCATTTTATGCCAATATAACACGACTATTTATTAATTTTGACGAACGAGATGTAATCATTCCCTTTTGTTGATCATTTTAACTTCAAAATGTGACGCCTTTTAGAAAAGGGAACTTGCTTAAAAAACAAGACATTTCGTTTCTAATTTCAAGTTTCAAATGCTTTCAGATCACAAGATATCATTTAAATCATAATTGTAATCATCAMAAATCATCAAAAATGCTTGTAAGGATGTTCTTTGGGGGAGAAAAAAAAAGTGATTTTCTAAAATGCGTCATGTGTGCACTGTAAAGATAGGCGATCTATGGGCCATCTATGGTGTGTTAGATATTAAGCTTAAAGGTTTACCGCTAGGTATCATGGAATATCTATCGTTTACTTAATTCGAAACAATCCGCGATATCCATGATGCAACGCGGTTAATAATTTTTGGTCGACAACGTTCATTGAAAAAGCTGTATATCTGCATGCGRCAATTATAATAAATCAAATTATGTACAGTATGTAAATCATTATCAATTGAACACTGAACCGAATTGAGTGTCATTTTTTGTCGTACTAGGAATCAGTAAATCAGTAAGAAATATGAAGTATTACATTAAATGTTAATTCCCAGACCTTTTAAAGCCCCACGTTAATTGAAATATTTGAGCTGTTTTTACAATGTGTTGTTTTTTACTTTTTTAATTGCCATATTTCAATACTGATAGCACCTTTTTAACAGGAACACATTTAGTACCTTTTTAACAGGAACACATTTAGCCCTTCCTTGAAAGCAATATTCTTTAATTTGATCTTGTAAATTACTGGTAGCAACTAAAATTATAGTTCTCAAACTACTACGCAATTTATCAATTCAAAAATAACTGGAACTCAAAATCATTAAAAACATCAATATTGCTCATAATACTCTCGATTGGCCGATCCAATATCGACTTAYATTCATGGTGATCGATATCATATCGGTCTAATGCGCTTCAAATGACTGCTCGATTGATCAATTCAAAAATAACTCAAATCAAAGTTTTTGAAACATCAATATTACTAAACTKGGTAAAAAACTGTTGGTTGCTCAATCTAATATCGTCTTTCTTCCATATGATAGCCAATATAGTCTACAGACGATCTCGAAAAGATTGTCACMTTCATATAAACTGTAAAGGAGATGTCTGGTCGACAACATCGGCTGTAGGTCTATTTTCAATCTCAGTGAATATTATTATACCTTCACAGTGTAAAATAGTGCCCATATAAGGAAAGGGGAGCATTTGAAAAAGCTGCGCGTGCGCACAAGTACTTCACATTCCTCGTTTCTTGTCGCATTGTCGAAGACTAAACGAAACGCGGGATTGGGTACGAGATTGCTTTTTCCCACTTTAAACGTTTAAAAAGTCATAATCCCAAAGTTCTTCCCAATAATTGTTTGTTATACTTCACACAGTGTGAAGTTGCGGGTATCAAAAAATAATTATACGACACCTCTYGAGATAAGGATCTGTTGTAAGGTTGGGAGCTATCCGGGAGATTTCTTTGAATATAAAGCACTTAAAACTTTGAATTGGTCAAGATCGATGTATAGCATATATATATATATATGTCCATGACTTTGATCGAGCATTCTCTCGTTTTTAATTAGATTTTTTGCGTAATAAGGTTCTGGTTGAACTCATATTGTAGATTATACACGTACCATGAAAGTATCCGAGGAAGACGATTGATCACCGAAAAAAACTGAAGACTGGTTTTTTTTCTATACATTAATTTGTCTTTTTTCATATTTTAATGTTTTACATTTCAGTTATTTCTATTTCTTTCTTTTCTTTCCATTYCTTTTCGTCATTTTCATTTTATTTTAGTTGCTCATCTTGTGGATGTCGATTAGTGGTCGTTATATCAGTGGTTTTCTGTATGTCCATGGAACGAAATGTTTTAAACTCAAATTACTTTTTATAAGCGCCTTTTTCAGATTTTTTCTAATTATTTTTTTTCATTTCTAATCATAATCTTCTTCAAGTCTTTCAGATTGTGATCTTTTTTATCTATTTAATCAAGTTTGTCATGGCCATGATATTTGTGACTCATGGCCTGTTCCAGTATAATCAGAGTTATGAGTAGTAGTCAGGTCCTGGTTCTGATTCTCTATTTTGCATCTGCAAACTAAACAGACCAAAAAAACAAAAAACAAAACAACAACAACAACAACTTTTATTCACAAATAATTTAACGCTTTGACTCGGACATTTTATTAAATCCAGTTCAGCTATGTTTATGTTAGTATATGAATTRTAGGAACTAATGAATCTTAGGTCTAGGCATATGTACATGGATGTRGCCGCCATCTTGTATTTATAAAGGAGGCCGCTAGAAACACTTTCATAGATATATCTTGATTTAATCTATCTGATTTCATGCTTTGCAAAAAGTTWTAAGTACCATAGTTTTTTTTCTGAAGATAATAAAAGACAAAGATAAGTGCGTATTCTCTTTTTTTTCGAGCAGTTCCCGGCTGTTCGAGAGTGAGAGCTTAAAGTCATGTATCCCCACTATTACAAAGCTAGAACAAACACAAGCTGTCTTGACGAAGCTCTCTCTAGGTATTACAAAGACAAGTTCGTTAGAGTTTTGAAAGTTTTGAAGAGGCCACCTCTATTCGTCTAGTTGTCGACTTCAGRCTTACAACGCGTGTTCTCTTCCAACATAATACCCTCCATACTAAACTGGGCTGATGAATTTGTGATGGCTGGGTAACAGTATACGCCAAGCAACATCCCATAACGATCTCCACTAGTCGAAAACCTGTCTGATAGACAAACCAAGGCCAAGGTGAAGGGTTAACTATCTGGGAATACATCCCATAGACTCCAGCCATAGAATACACCTGAATACCACTAATAAGAAACCCGAATACTGTTGTAACTAGAGTTATCTTTGCAACCTTAGACAAGTTGCACGAGCGTGATTCTTGGTTTGCAGTGTTAGTGATTTCTCTTAGTACCTTTCTAGTTTGTCTAGCGTCGCGAAGAAATCGACCACCGCTGTACAAGAAGGCGATTGAGTTAAGGAAACCCCAGACGATAAAGAACGATTGACACACTATCAAAAGTGCTTTCATATCTGCCCTCAGCGCTACAGTGATGTCCGAGACAAGAACTATACAGAAATGTAAAACTATGACAGACGATACAAAGGGAATGCTATGAAGTTTCTTGGAACCGAGGTCCAWTTTAGAAACTTCCAGAAATCCGACATGAATCAGGCAAAAAGCAGACGTCAGGCAAGGGAAAGCGATACCAAAAATGGCTTTAGACRCCCAYAACTCGCATTTAAAGCCATGTTCGCCTGATTCATAAGGATCAATCCACAGATACAGGGCTCGACTCATCCCGAATACGAATAGGAGGGYATTAATGGCATAGAACAAAAGTCTTCTCGTTAAAGCCTTACTCGTATCAGCCATGAGTATCGCAATAAGAGAATGGATTGCTAAAAGAGCAAAGACGACACCAATTCCTGCCCAGTGAATCTTCCAGCACGCACCCCATTCTACCCTTGCTATTGGCCAATCAGGACCAGGTTCTGGGGCCGGAGCTTGGTTTGAAACAGACGATTGGTTTGCAATRGTCACGTTGCTCATCRTTGTCTTCGATTCGTTGGGRCTTGGGCGCTTGAGATGAACGACGTTTTGTTTCAAGAATCTGAAACAATATAAATAATATTTAGAATTTTGTGAGTTTGTTGTGMTTCTTTATATCCGTWMAGTTATTGTGGAGAGAAACTAAGGTTTTACYTCTCACTCGAACCTTAGCGACACAATATCACTTGCAGCTACTTGAATTACACTGGAAAAAATCGCGCGCTTTAAAGGTTGTAAATTTGATGTATATATGATGTAAGTGTCTAAAATGATGTAAATTTGATGTAAATCATTTCCATCAAATTTACATCATTTTGGACACTTACATCAAATTTACAACCTTTATAGCGCGCGATTTTTTCCAGTGATTACGGTATAAAATCGGTACCGAGAAAACCTTTAGATGATAAAAGATTTGTGTGAGAGTTTGTTGGTTTTCTGGTTGCTTGGATGTCTGGTTGCCTTACGTGATGTAAGCCGACTTAAAAAGGCTCGAAACATCCCTGAAGGACATGAAATATCAAATCCTTTTACAAATCGTAAAAGTACTTTCACTTTGCGTTTCACTCTTATGGACATCTTTCGATATTGGTTGGTTTTACGATGTGAAAATTACCTTTTTTCGTCCAAGTGTTTTAAGATTTCCTAGGCAACCCTTGTAAATGCAACACCAAATGAATGGAAGAAATCATCGACGCAAACTTTCAAGTTTCAAAATGAAGGAGAAACGTTTTGAGAAGTCAACTGATTTGATGGGTATTATAGATAAGGCTGKCGGTAAATTAGACAATGAAAGGCCTTTTTCTTAACTCATAAAAGAACTCGCCATGTGATTACTAAACCAATCAGTTGTATGGATACAAGTAGATGATTTCATTAGTGTCAATAAAACCCGTCAAATATATAAGATTAATGACTGAAACCAAGCGATATAGACGATAATTTGCACGAAGTTGCAAGACGTAATAAGCTAAATTAGTATGCCAATCGAAATATGCACAAGAAAGTAATGAATTTTCAAGTTTTTCATTTACAGTAAATATACACTTGTAAAACAGGCAATTAAACCGGAAAACCGTTAAGATAATGCTAAATTAAATACTTCTTTTCAGTTTGACTGACAATCTGTCCTGTTGGGCGGTTTTCAGTGGGAATTTTTTCAGATTTGATGATTTTTTTTTTACAGCAAGGTGGGATTTAATTAATATCCGCAAATGTAATTTGTTAGTGTATCATGGACTATTATTGATAGCCATCTTTCGAAACCCAATATCGCATATACATCAAATCTCGTTAGTGATGATTGGTTGACAAACAGAAACGTTTTTCTTAATAACGTTTCTTGTTAATCTAGCAGATTTTTTGCAGAGAATAATTCAGACAGAATCCGTGACACGATTGACTACTTTTGGCAGGGGCTAAACATTTAGAAACTGACTGCGATTATCATTCAATTCTCAACGAAARCTTTTAAGATATAAAGATTCACAAAACGAACATGAATCAAAACTGTAYTGAAAGAGMCTGGACTTGGTRTGATATCCTATCACACCAGAATGTMTGACARAAAMATCTCCTTGTTACACGACTTTTGTTTTCATCTGTGTACGAATCTGACTGCAAGCTCTTCTMTAGATAGATAGCTGCGTCCCAAAAAACCGTGAAATAGAAGACTGTTAAACTTTGTTCAACGAATTTAACTTTATTTGTCTGTCAGGTTTATCAATATCACTCTAATGTCAAGGTGTTAGTTCACTTTTTTTAACCACGAAAAAGATCTATTTGTTGGCTAATAGTTATGCGAATATATCAATCGTCTTACCTTCCTTTACTGAACTAATATTTCGGCAATATAGAACTGTTCTGCTTGCCGATATGTTGTCAGGCTCAGTGTGAAATGATTACTACTATTGAAGACTTGCACCTGGACCTTGTCGACTTCAGATATGAAATTGATAAGACTAGCAATGTTGGACAGCTGCTTTGAATCCAGTTGGTTTTTTTTTGCTGAAGTTTACAAGCAAAGTTTATCAGTTAAACTAAATAAACAGCTGTTTTCAAAGTTTTTTTATGCTGAGGCCTTAGTAGAGTAGAACTACACAGACTTGTACTGTCTCAGTGACCTCTTACAACTGAACTGAATTAGTTTCCGTGTTCAAGCCTCAATATAAGAAACCACTTAATGAACTACGTATGAATRCTTGATGAACTCTGAATCACATTGTTTTGTGTACTTCACAGCTGGTAACAMAGAATATTAGTGAATACTTTATTTCAGGAGATTAGATTTGTCACTTTTTGCATTTCTTTTAAAGTTATTAAAATAACTTGACTTTATCTTTATATTAGATGAATATATGGACAGTTTTTTCATGAAGCATGCCTCAGTTCGCGGTATTAATTGATTTTTGTGTACATACAAACATGATAAAGTAGTTTTTATTACTAGAATAATATTGCCTGCAGCATTTTATGCTAATTTTTGTTCGTCTTGCGAATCATCCCATAAAAAGTTTCTCGTTATTTAAACTGGTAATCTGTGTGTGTAACCACACATGGATAGCATTGARTTGTTTCAATTAACCTAAGTAACAATGACCTCTTAATTATAAAAAAAGTAGGCGAATTCAAACAATAGAAAGTGAACGACTTAATTTTGTACCAAATTGTAAAATTAAACTTGTGTATTTATTTCAAAAGAGGTTTATGTTTTTCTTGTCCAGCTTCGATTCACCTGTTTGTCTAGTTGGACTATTTTTATTTACTCCTTTTTTCACTCTCTCGACGAAACAACATCCTCATATGACTCACYGCATCTCATTTCCTGCACACGGAAAGGAAATAGTCTCCTGGCTAGCTACACAGGGAGACCGAAAACTAGCGAGAGCCGGACTAAAAGCCATTAAATTGTTTGTATTCCCTACAAGTTTTCTCAGTAATCTTTGATATCTCACAGTTTTTCGAYATGATAATAACAATGCAGTTAATAAAAAGCATGAAAGTTTCTTAATTCTCTACGGGCTACAGCCATTTTATTAATTAATTATCCTTGGCATGGCGTAGCATAATCTTTTATATCTCACAGTTTCTTTCGAAATTGCAAAAAAAACGTTAAAAAAATTACTACGCGTTACGACTAGTTAGTAATTAGCAATAACCCCTTGTGTCCCACAATCTCTATTCGTCATGGCAAGAAATACGGCAGAATAACAACAGGAAGACCAAAAGCGTTGTAAAATGCTAATCATGAAATTGTTTGTGTAGTCTGCACGTGTTTTTAGAAATAAGCAAGGACGCCATTTTGTACTTCAAAGCATGATGGGAGTCTCCATACATGATTTTTATTGTCGTAAGACTAGTCCCAAAAATTCTGTTTTCTCCTCAAAATTGGCACAATCTCTTCCTTTTTTTGTACAGAAAAAGAAAAAAATGATGATAATGAAGAACAAGAATAAGAAAACCGACTTTGGAGGACTATTTTGGTAGACATAGAAAAGTTCGAGGACTACATATCCCATCATACTTTGCCGTGCAAAATGGCGCGATTGTTGACTGGAATCTTAAAAAACTTTGAAAGACATAGCCATAGCTGAACGYGTGCGACCTCATAGCGTTCCSTCATGAAGAGAAGTGTGTGAGGAATTGTTCACTATTGATATGTACCCTAGAACACAAGAATCCCGATAAAACACAGGTATCTTGTAGGTACACAGGTATCCCATGCATCAAACSTGGTGTTATCGTATATTTTGTTAATAGTGTAAGAGTGAGATCTTGCACGTCTTTCTTGTCGCAGCTGTGTATTCCCTGCGTTTTTTACAATCATTTGTAAACCACCACCTTTATTTGCCTACCGTCTTTTTACCGGTCACCACAAGCCTTCCTTCTTCTATTAGAACTGACTCGAGGGTTTCATGTTGAAAGTGCTCAGCGGGGTTTTTTGTGAGTTTTATCAGCAGAGGACATAATCACGGAAAACACTAGATACTTTTCCTTTCCTGCTAAAGGTCTGTTTAGAATTCTTCTCACGTTTTGTGCAATGCGGTAGTGATTTCTTTAGAYATTTGTTACACTTAAGRTTKTACATATGTTATTTTACATTGTTTCGCTACTTCAGTAAATCGTGACAACCTGGMTACATCCAGAGTGTTTTTAAACMCTTAAAAGTCATGTGAATGTTTTGGTGTAAAGTGAATCATTTTAACGGCCAGCAGTAAATTGATTTGATAAGTGATTTTACTTTCTTAAATTTTGGTTAATTGATTAAAAACTGGATCACTTCTAAATGTACCTTGAAAAAAACACGAAAAAAAAAAGATTTAAAAGTTACGCAAGCGGTACTTTTGCAACAGATAGATGAATAAATTGATACTGATATTTCGTTTGTGTGTTTTTTCCATTCACTTCAATTCCAACTTTCAACGACCATCAACCCTTGCGATGATTGTGCTTCAAACTACTTGCGCAATATGGTTGTTCCAGGGCCGTGTAGATATCTAATGTTAAATATTTTTTATCTTTTACAGAATGAATCACCATCATTATCTAGAGGTCTCTCCAGAATTTGACAATTGATTTCTACATGCGTCTGTCATATGTACTTGRCATAATGCATACTGGGGTAGGAATAATAGTACCTCCCATTCCACTGCAATCTCTAAGCGGTGATTGTACCTGGAGCCGAGATTTATCTTTAAGAATTCCAGGAAGGCGACGTGAATCAAGCAAAAAGAGACGTAAAAAAATGTGAAGCTTGATGATTCAACATTGGCCAAGTTACAAGTATGGTACAGCTTGTCTTGACGTGGGAAGAAGTCAGGTAAGCCATTCATAAACCTCGCAAAATCAGGTACCATTATATAAATGTTTTAGGGTGTGACGATTTGTTATAGGGCTTGTTTAAGGCTTGTTTTTTTATAAACTTTTCAGAATATATTGTGAATTGGATTTCACTATGCATTGATATCGGGCAAGTACTTTGCGATCCATCACATCTTTTGGAAATAAAAAGACTAGAAATAAATTATTTTTAAAAAACCGTACGTAAAAACAACAGATGACCTACAAGCGCAATTAAAACTATGCAAACGCATTGCTTCGTGTGTGTTGAGATGGTATTTCTTGTCCTATTAAAACTACAAGGTGTTGAAACACTTTAGTTAAACAATGGCTCAAGGTTACTTCGCTCTCAAGAAATGGCCAGWGAACCAATAGGAAAGCAGCTTAGACCTTACCTCACGGAATTTAGAATATATCATTATCTAATATAAGCGGAGTTTGCGGTTCTTAATCCTGATCTATGGGTGAGAGGTAGGATTTGTGGTTCTGACCAATAGATAATGTGGTTGTKTGATTAATAAAAGTGTTGCACGTCTGTAGTTTAAAAGTCAATTTGAGTGAAACAAGAGGAAGAAAGGTAGGATGGAATTATTGCCGTGATTTTATCATGAAATGCTGCGCAATAACTAACTTTTTTAATATAATGCGAAATGACATAGTTTCACTTGGAAGTCAGTGGGGTTATTATCATGTGTATTGTCTCGTGAAGTCATCTTCAAATGCAATATTTTCACTTGCTGGCTTATTAAACGCCATATGAATTTTCAGCGTACGTAGAAGCGTGCACTGTCTACTACTCGGCTAGCTTCTCCTACCGGAAGTAGTTTAAAGCCATCTTCAATAGATCTTGAAGGATTGATATTTTTTATTTGATAAATCTTGAATATGCCTTTAGAGAAAAGAATCGCGACAAGGAATTAAAAATGAAAGAAAAGAAAGAAAGGTCTAAAGAGATAATTTCGGGCAAAGGTCTCGAACCCTGGTCGTCTCGGTTACAGTGTGTGTTGTCTACAATGTGATTTATAAAGGGTTTGAGCCAGGGCCTCTTGGTTTGAGCGAATATTACCAGTGTTTATCAGGTTGCTAACCACCTTACATACAAGACATTTACAGAAATACATAGAAAATGCAAAGTTACCCTGTAAAACAAATTTAAAAGAAAATTTACAATGAATTTACAGAGTAATCATTATCATCGTCATCATKAYCATTATTATTTATAAAGTAAMTTTATTTTATTCCAGAAGTGAAATTATTATAATTATATTTCTATCAATTATAACCTATTTTTTCTGGTGGTAATCACGATGATATTTCCTACATACCGTGTCAATGCTGTCAATTAGACTTGTACTTAAGGCCTGGTCAGTATTGACGTTAAGATTCGTTTAAATGTCTAGATTATTAGCTACGTCAGTGTACTAATAACTTTGTCATATCGCTATGTATTTAAGGCTAATCCATAAAACCACAAGACTCACAGATAAAACACTCGATTCAGGTGTGTTTTTGTATAAACTATGGTTATGGTAGGTAAAATGGTCTTTTTCAAAGTAATTGTTTCAAGAAGCGTACTGGAAATATTTGCTCTTCATTGTGTCTGAAAGAATTTCACAGTAAATCCGGCGCTGGTAGAATACGATTCATTGGCRTGCGGTGATATGATTATGTGGTCTGGTTATTCTAATCAAAGCTCAGGTATTTTTTGTCGMAAAAAATGGTGATATAGAAATAATTCTAAATTATGATTTAATCAACTCTCTATTGCTCATTTTAATGGTTTAAAAGTATTATGAATGATTTTGCAGTYTATATCAAGTTTGATCTTTGTTTCGTTATTTTTGCTATTATATTATTTCGCAATGTTTATCTTGGTTTCGCGGTTTCGTCCAACGCTTTAGAATACGTTTTAGAATATATTTAAATGCAAACAAAATTCGTATAACGATAAAGATACCCAGTCATCGTCAGAAAAGTCATTTTTATTGTAATGCTCTAATTTTAAAGATAAAGGTTTACGGAAAAAAGTGCTGAACAAATGTTTATCGAGGAAGCAGCGCAAAATTCCTAATCAGCATCTGATATTTGATAAACGTCTGATAAGGATGTAAAGTTGTGAGCTGACATAAAAGTAGGAAAAGCTTTGATCTAAAAAGTTCTTTAACGTAGTATTACYAGTGTTCGTATCATGAAAACTGAACGTGATGAATAAAAGAGCAGTCTTCCTGTTTTGGTGTTTAATTTCACCTCTCAGCTTAAAAATAAGTGCTGGTCATTTCTCTTAATAAATGATTTTGAACGTTTCAACAGAGAGTAATGTACTATAGTGTTGTCGCCAAGTCTGATCATAAAGCGAACCAGTATTGATCCAACTTTGAGCATGTTTGAGTAGCGATTATTCACCAAACTTCAACCAACCTTTCTAGGCTTGGAGACATTCTCTTATCTTTGAAGTTTATAATATAGCCCTTATATTCTAATCATTATTCTTGTATCAGGCTATGAGACTCATTATCGATCTTGCTAATCAGTATTCAGTAAATTCACTCGTTTTAATTCGTTTGACAGGCAGCRAGCTACCATAACGTTTCAAGGGTTCTCAAGAGCTTAGAATAGATGTAGGAAGTGTTGCTATCAAAGTTATAATACTCTTATCTGGTAAGTCAATAACACGAGCAAGTTTAACTAAACCAGAAGGAAACAATCGCTTTGTTTTTGCCTAATGTGTCATAGCCATTCTAGTGAATTTGTGTATTGAGTTGCATTCTTTTTAGTTTAGATTGACGGTTTAGTTCTTGTTTAAATCCGCGCAAGGTTTACACGATTTTTTTAGGGTAGTTGTTTTTCAGTTTAAAGAACACTAGCTGTGAAAATAAACCTTTCAATACACTACAGCCTTTAAGTGCTCTAATATCAATTTACTAATTTAAATGAATTTGACATTCACATTGTATAATTGTTCATTTTTCTTTGGCGAGGACATCATCTCGCGTGCGCCATCTTACGAGATGAATTATGTCTTTAAACCAAGCCTACGATTACAGTGAAGTTCAAAACAAACTATAAAAATAAGGGATTTTCCATCGCAATGCAGTTATCAAAAATGTGAGTGTATTTTTTTTATACTTTGATTATTCATAGAGGGAGGGGAGAGGGGGGGGGAGAATGGAGTAGTGATAATATCAAAAGGAGACTCACAGTCTATCAACGTCTTCACAGCTGTTTTGTCATTTGATTATATCTTAAATATACAAGGCAAATAATTTGTTTTTACACGAAACTGTGTCCGTATTTAAGTGCACATTTAGTCGTATTTTTAAATAGGGCTAATGAAGAAGGTAGAAAGGTGTGTCTGACGAGTATCGGTGTTAGTTTTGTATGGGTGTCGGCTAATATGTACCTGAGGGCATGTCTATCTAACTTTGATAACGTATGCCTTACAAACATCTCAAAAATATACATAATTATTACCCCCGTAATGCGAACATCTCCATAACTTGGACATTTCCCTAATACGACCACTATATATTTCCCTAATACGACCACTATATATTTCCCTAATACGACCACTATATATTTGCGGAGACCTCAGTACTATGGACAGGTATACGCCGGACACCTTCATAATAAGGACACCTCCACAATGCGAACACCAACCATAATACGAAGTCTAAGATTTAGGAAACGCTAATTAAGGGGGGTGTATCTATCCTCCCTCAAAGGCAACGTTTTGCTTTCTCCTACATTTGGTTTCTACGCGGGATTTCTACGCATATTGTCTTGTCCTTACGCAAAATCATCCTACGTTATATTAACTCTCGTGGATACAAAATACATCTCTCTGGTATGTTTTTAATTGTCATTGCTATGATATTAGCCTTATTATGCCGCCATCTTGTTCTCAACTGATACATGTTCGGCCGCCATCTTGAATAGACTTCCAATACTGCCGCYATCTTAGATTCTATCGTTTTCATCAATCTGAAATTTAGAGGCACAAAATTATCGACGAAAGTAATATTTTTCGGTATATATATTAATAATCCACGTTTTTATATCCCATAATTTCTTGATATTTCAAGATGGCTGCTGTATTAGTAATGACGTCAATTCAACATGGTGGCTGTGTTAGTTATAGGGTTATAACTTACCTATAATGTATATTTAGTAACGTAATCATACTCCAGTTATAATTATAGCGTAGTTCTWCTAATTATTACGTAGATAAGTTGTGTTTATTTTTAGCTGCTTTAAGTGAGAAGGAGCAAAGCATTGTTGCGTTTAACTTGACGTTGCCATAAGAAGCAAAGCGATAACAACTTGGATTATTATAAAAGTAGTGAAAAACCATGTTTGTACTTGTTGTTAAGATGGAGTTAACACATTTTGGAAGAAAACRTGAAATCAAGGTAAACATTATTCACAAGCAAAATCAAAATTCCAGAACATTTAATCGAAGCTTTGATCAAATTGTAATTTCGTGATCAAATGTTTTGATTTATTTCAATATTGATCGATTCACTTGTAAGTGTTGTTGTACGAGTTTTGTTGAATAACTAGCAAGTAGCATGTGAATGGCTGGCTTCGAGAAGCATTGATCAAAAGATCAATTATTCTTTTTCTTATTTTCAGTTTTTAGTTATACAGGTGCATTATAAATGTTCTCAATTGTCTCGCAGCATTAATGCAATTAAACGTGATCAATCGAAGCATCGATCAAACCGATCAAACGTTCTTTTCCGAWTCGTGTCAAAACGTTTGCCGATATTGTGTTTGTTATTTTGATTTGAGGAAATCGTTTTCCTGAATCGTCCAGAACGTTCCAAATGGGAAAGCTTTTAACACGTTCATTAATCAATTAAATTGTCAACACACTTGTATCTTCCCGTTCAAAACTCTCGTGTCCTATTGTTATCAGTTCTCTTTGACAACATGGGCATCTATCAATAATCTTGGCAGAAAAGCATAAATAAAATAGAATAAGTAAATAAATATATGAATGGATTTGTGTTTGAATTCAAAAATACTGAATGGATAAACAGATGAATTRAAATACATGGCCGATGGGATTGAATGCATAAATGGATGATAATTGGAAACACCATAAATTTTTCAATAGAAACAAGATGCTCTCTCAAACTATGTAAAAACCCGGAAACTAAAAGCTTGTTTTCGAAGTGAACGTCAAATTAGTGACGACTAAATGAAAGACCAGTTTCCTGTGACAGTGCTATGATTTAGATGTGTTTTTACAACATATCGATGTGACTGTTTGCAAGTCTGACAACTTTACGTACAATTTAAGGTTCCCTAAGATAACAGTATAACCGATTTACGCGGCCACGATAGAACTGAATACTTGGTAAGATAACATTATCAAAAGTCTATTATGGCATAATGTAAGTGAAATAGAGTTATAATCTGATTCACGTAGATTGATTTAATCGATATATCACTTCGAAAGATCACAAGCGTTACCGTCATCTTTTGTTGGTTTCAATTGTTGCACAACTAAGCAAAATGTTTGTCATGTACGCAAGTATTCCCCAGCATGATTTGTGACTTTTTTGCCTTTTTTTCAAGTTCCCACTTYATTCTTGGCCTTAGTTAGACACATTACATCATATTATATCTTTGCGATTGTTCTTTTCATATTTATWTAGTTAATTAATCTCAAAACTTAAGAACGATTTTTTATGATGTCGATGTATTATTAAAGAAATGTTTCGTTATTTTTTTGGGCGTTAAAAATCCGGATCTCAACTGAAGTGAATTTCACGTCACTGTTAAGAATATTCTGAACATAACACTTCGAATCACCATTAAAATCGAATAAGGACAAAACAAAAAGCAAAACAAAACCCAAAAAACCCTACATTACATGTCCTATAGGTAGATGATGTTATTAGGGGTAATTTTGAGCGATTCTTGTTGTTCTATAAAAAGCTTTAAGTAATTATTTATCATACGACAAGTTTGTTAGCTTATAGCTTTTGCACAGCTGCAATATAAGTGCAATAATTGAMATTGTTTTGTTCTAGGGACTCTATTGATTGCTTTTTAACAATTTCACTGGATAACAATTTTTGTTCCCGTAACTTAAAAAATAATAATATGTCACAGGTCTTTTTAAACACGTGAGGAAACTGTAGGAACACAGTAAAAATCTCGGAAAATGTTCCTCACTTGATAATTTGTTAACTAGTCTGTAATTTAAATGATTGAGAGAACAATAAGTCACAGTTCAGCTGAAAACATAGTATATTTATGATTCAGTCATCTATTTGTTTAGCCATTTCTTTGTTCTTTCGTTCTATTTATAATCTTAATAATAATATTCAGTTAAACTCTGTCTATTCATTCATTTATACATTTGAAAGGTTTATTGATTKATTTATTCTTTATTTATTTATTTATTTGTTCACCCATCCGTTTATTTTATCATTTTAACCACGTCTCATTTATACATTTTGTTTTTTCCTTGTTACTAATTGCCTCTTTATTATGGAGTCCCYTTAACCTTTTATGTTCATTGTCGGTCATTACATCTTTCGGCGTTTTCACGCTGGTCGCGTCATTTTCTTATCTGTTTTTTCTATTTTCTTTTCTCTTTTGCCGGATAATCTGCTTTGAAGTCTCGTTGTTGGTCGTCATTTTTCTTATCTTTTCTTTCTTTTCTCTTTTGTCTGATAATTTTTCCATTCAAAAACATTTTAGTGTGAAAGGAGCCATGTAATTTAACTTATCTTTTTCGATTTTCTGTTCAATTTTGTCTGATAGTTTTYCTTTCAAAAGCATTTTAATATGAAAAAAGATCCTTGTAATGTTTTATCTATTTGCGTATTTTTTTTCTTTTTTTGCCCGATAGTTATCCATTCAAAAACATTTTTAGTTTTTGTAATATGGTAAAGCCTCGCAGTTTCCGGCCCTCCCACTGCCCTGGGAAGATCCTCACGATAGCAAGATGTAACTCGAAAAAAAAACAGCGACAAGCAACAGTGTTTGCGTAAGCAACTTTTGATCCAGACGGTGTCTCGCGAAAGGTGCARGACTACATTCTAATCATCTTTGGCTATAAATATAGGCCAGTCTGTATTACTATTGTAAAGTAAGGTGTCTTGGATTTGAGTATATAGTGTATAAAGTTGGATATCAAAGTAATACTCTAAGGTACTGCATWGTAATCCTTTCCAGTCGCATGCATTTAAAACTATAATCCCCAGTAGTGGTCTATAGTGGTGAATATGTCGTTATTACTGATGTTTTATCAGTGCGATTTGATACTAATTGGTAGTATATATTCGTTATTCCTGGAAAAAAAGGGAATCGATTGCCATATTATTTAAAACGTATTGACAAAACCTTGTACTGGAAATTGAAGCAACCATTCCCATTCCAATTTCGATGTAAAATCTCTGCAAATTTTCTACACAGATCCTGAGAAATTCCCTTTTCCATKTCATGTAAGTCTAGATTTCTATCCTTTTTTATAGAATGTAACATCGGTTCATTTTTCAGTGTATTCAATTGCTAAAGTGTAAGCTATAGTAAATTGACTGTTGTATTTTCACGGTTTTCATATCTTTATTGTTTCACGAACGTATAGTTCCCTAATCCGCTATTTACAAAGCTTCTTATGTAAGAACTTCTTTACCTGTGTCGGTGTCGGGGTTCTTAAGGGAGATTACTGATATCTTTGKATTAGCCCAAGTGTGTTGTAATGGTGTGGAATCATATTTCCTCTTTTTTTCTACAGCTTTAAATAAACTGGACAAACCGCTCTAACATGGTAAGTTATTCCACAACTCCTTGCTATCATTTGTTTTTTGTTTTATTCATCATTTTATTTGAATTCTTCCTTAATAACCCTTTAACGCACTAATTCGTACAAACTAGGAAACGTTACTCAAACATTATGATCGACCGTATCGACATTTCCAGGGTTTTTTTCAAATGCAAAACGTATATTTTTTAAATGCCAAAAATACCATGCCAAAAATCCTTAGCGGGGAATTGTTGGAAAAGCTCCAAACATCGAATCCTATGAAAGTGAACATGTTGCATGTGCAGCTGAGAAAAAGTGAGAAAGATCAACAAAATGTGTTCAAGAAATTAGACGAGCTAATTTATACTATTATGAAGTACATAAATAAACAAATTTACGCCTTTATTTTGCCATGAATACAATAATGAGATCCTCGTTAATTCTAGTTCCATTAAACCAATCTTTGCGTTTTTTTTTAAAAAACGTCACAGGTTTTCGTAATGCATTTTATATCTACAATCTCTTGTTTTTTGTCTTTTTTCATTTTTAGTGATATATATAGTTGTGATTTTCGACATAGTGAACTTAGCTGTCCGGTTCTATTTCCTGTATTTTAAACTGCAATCACTTTATGTTCAGATCTTTTCAATCATTTCTTTTATACACAACTGAGTCTAGTCTAAACTGCGATTTCTTTCAAACGCTTTCATAATATAGTTGATCAGAAGTATAACGCGCACTGTCTTGATAGTTAGAAAGGTTTTAATTAAGGTAACTCTAAAAGTCATGCAACAACTCTAATTACTGAAAGCGTAATTTCTCCAGYTTTATGATGTTAATTTGAAGATTGATCAGCTGATAGTGATGATCAATACTTCAACTATAAATAACTTAATYATCTATTGCTTTTCAWACACTACGARGCGTTTTATGTTTATTACAGATGCCATATGCCATTATCAAGGATAGCATAGCGTAAAATTACCTATTTTAGCCACTTCGGATTCAATTTTCCTATTTTAAAGTTATTTCAAATATTAATGATTTAATAAAATATAGTTTATTGAGTGGCTGCCCTCTGCTGAGTTCTCATATAACCGGAGACCAGTAGTCTAGTTTCTCAATGACTCATTCATGCTTTCTCTGTAACGCGTTCCAGTTAATAAAACTTTAAAAAATACGATATACTTTTTTAATCTTAACATGTTTCAGCATTACATTATGCCATCCTCAGAAGAATGAGAATAAAAGTCGTTACAAATTATTATATAGTCTAGGTACAAATGATTGACATGTAATATAATATGAACTAAATGAACTAGCGTGACTAATAAAAAAAAAAACAAGATAACCAGTACATGTTATCTGTTATCCCTATTTATAGATAATATGACAGCTACAGTTTAAAAGAAGTTTTCATATGCTTTACTTGAACGTTAAGTTCAGGTTTTAGATTGTTAATATAAAAAGCTTCTTTAAGTTTAAGGAGTATTTTATACTTTGCAGTGTCTAAGATCTTAAAACAATTCAAAGAGTATTTATCACTACAACTTTTAGATTTCGTGAGGTGTTTAAAGATGTGAGAGTTTTTATCAGAAACAGTATGTTCTTTAATGTAGAGAAATGGCGAGAAGTCTCTCCAATATAACGAGATTGACATCCCGCACAAGTAAATTGGTAGACTACACAAGATTTAAGACCATCTGGAATGGCATCTTTAAAACTAAAAAGTTGTTTGATTTTAAATGAAGTAAAAACAAGTTTAAGGTTAAATTCCGGACAAAAAAGTTTACATAGTTTTTTAATTTTAAAATTAGTTATTTTAGAAAAGTTTCCAATGTATGGTAGTTTAAAATAACGAACTTCGGCAGAAGTTTCCTGTGAGACATTGTTAGCTACATTTTTAGCATTGCTAATTTGTTAATAATGTAAAATCAAACAGCTTTGGACTAGGGATAATTTACAACCAGTTGAGTTTTGTTATTTAYCTGAATATGAGAGAGAAATATGACAGTTTAATATGAAAAGCGAGTCAAACATGTTAATTATAATAATAATTTACTATCAATTGGAAAGTAATAATGATGATTAAAAGTCACACTTGGATATTATTAATACTTATTAATGGTTGCAGATATTGTGAGGATAGTGTCATTGTTGAGATTGATTGATTTTATCTTGCAAAGAAGCGTTTTAGTTGAGACTTCTTAATATTTGAACTTATTTTTTTACTATTTCATTGTGATAGTAACGTCTTTTTTATTTTATCTTGTGTTCAAGTCGTTCAAGAATCAAATTTTGATTCCCTTCGCATAGTAAGTGAATATATTAAAACAAAGCAAARAACATGAAATCAATGTCTATAACAAGTTRTAATACAAGCTTCAAATMATCCCTTCTACTATTCAAACAAATTAAACCAGACAAATTGCTAGAACATCCTGCTGACTTTCATCAAGGTAGCATGCACAGCGTCCGCATCAMGCRCACAGCAGGAAGCAACGTCTGCTTACGCTAGCACGTCGTATATTCATCTGATAAGACCGTTTTATGTTGAATAGTCTTCGACTGAAGCTGTTATATATCAAAATTTGTTATCGCTTGCTACAGTAGGTAATATTTTTACACATGCGGATGATTTTGTATGTATTGATACTAAAAATGGTAAAAATGTTAACCAAAAATCCTTTGTACAATTTCTAGCGCCATCTTGAAAAGTAACCGCGTCTTTGTTTTGAAGSAAGATGGCGGTAAAGCTTGCAATGCATGATGATCACCGTTTGAATTATGTTTTTAATTTTCCCACAATAAGTTGAATATATTTACAAACTTACAATACGGTTAACAGCTAATTATATTTTCGATTTTCAAAACTTTGTAAACTCACAATATACTACCAGCCTTAGAAGGTTCCACTACAGTATACCATAATATTATCATACCGCACTGCGCACGCGCTCTAGTCATATTGCGTGTTCTAACCCTAACCAGTTAAAAAGTGCTTAAACACATAAAAAGACTTAATGAATCYCCTTAAGTAGCAATTTATAAACATTTTAAACTTCTGTCAGGGAAAGTGCACTTTTATTTACTTACCGAGAAAAAAATTTAACATCCTTTTTAATGATTTTTGCCCTAACCAAGTGCTCCTATTTGAATTAATGATATCGATTTTCTAGATACATGAACTTTCAACTTGATAATTCTACCGCTTTGTATGAACCATTTGCTTGAACCGCCGCGGCCATGTTGGATCGGTGAAGGTGAGGAAGTCGCACTCATCTTTTGTGTAACACATGGCAATAATAGAGTACAAGAAGAATTATATTTTATTCTYAAATGGTATATTTTTATTCCTCCATGCTCAACGGTTTTCAAATTAAGACGTTTTGACACCAAAATGGCTAATATCTTACGGATAAGAATAATTAAAATGGAACATAGCCAGCTTAAATTTGTCTTACTCTTAACTGACTCATAATCAGTTCTGAATGTCGCTGCCCTTTCTCCATTGTAAAAGCCTTCAAACTTTACGTTTTAATTTGTAATAAGTTTAAAATAGCACTCGATAATAAATAAATAATAGAAAAACAAAACGAATCCTGGTAAGCTCCGGGACTCTTGTGAATGTATTTATAAAATAGGATTAATTCAATCTTACCAAATATCCGACATTACTGATGAAAACATGAACGGGAGTGTTATTTCACAATCAACAATGCTTTTAAATTTATTTATTTATTTATATCAGGAATAATAATGAATAAAAGATGAAAAGAAATAGAATGAAACTTGAAAAGTGTGAAATGAATCTTTTCCAGTTGAAAATAGCTATGTAAAAATAGAAATAAACTAAAATTGTTTACGAATAAACAGTTATTACTTGTACCTATTAAAAAAGAGCTCCAGCTAAGTTTTCTTTTTCTTGATATTGTATATATATTAAGTTTTTGTTACAATATGGCAAATAAGATTACAAACACTTATTCAATAATATTATTCAGCGGGTGGTTTTTGTCGGAATCGTCACAGTGCATTAATTCACGTTTTACAATCTCAAGTTAAATAGATTAGCAAAAAACTATATCAGACACACACTTGACATCAATTACTGTTTACGTGTTGCAGAAAGGGTTGCCTCATTATCCAGTTTCTATAAAATACATTCATTGCTCTCATTGACGCCACGATTTTCCTCTTTTTCGTTTAAAAGGTTTTTAAAATGATATTAATGTTAGTTTGCTTTAAAGAGCGGATTCGCCACAGGCATTCCACAGGCTCTAATTGAATTCAAAATATCTTGATAGTCACTTGACGATTGATAAGTAAAAACGATCAATATTTACCCGATCCACCAATCAGTGCCTTAGCTTTGGTCACGTGGGTTGGAGATCTAATACTTGTTAATTTTGAATACAAGGCGGAAACGCCCTTATGTATAATACGCGGTAATTGTGATAGACAAAGACTGCTGAACCGACCCAAGCCGACGTCGAAATTTTAATCACAAGAAATTGATGTCAGCTTGAATTTTATAAGACACGTTTGATTCTAACCAAGAAAGAATACTTTCCTCTCTTGGCTGACATGGATGACAAAAAAACACTCCAGGTTTGTGAACTTTTTGTTCATAACAGTATAATTCATGCAGGTTCTTAGTCATATATTTCTATCGCTTGAGATGTATTTTTGACAGCGTCGTGTTGAGATGATGATCAGTGGTGTTTGTTGAGCTCAAAAATAGAAATGTTTTAAAATTGGAATGAATTTGGCAAAATTGTGCGCTGATCAGTGAAGCATGTAGGAGATTATGTGTATAAATGTTTATGTAACTTATTCAGATTTCATGCCAATTTACGTTATAATGTAATGTTATGTAATGGAAATAATCGCGATTGTAGTGTTGAATAGCATAGTCGCAATAATGATCATTATTAAAGTTAAGGAATCTTTTTGAAATTAGTTATATTAATAAAGTGCGTCTTAAGAGAAAGTTAAATAACATGTTTGTTATATTTACTGAAAATCGTTTCCAGCGAGGCCAGGAAAGTAAGACGAATCTTTAAAAATTCAGTTCACATAGTCCTACAGCACAATTTCTGTCTGTGTATATACTGTCTGAGATTAGACTTGGGATTGTGCCTTGGCAGTAAAATCATTAGCAAAATGCCGCGCAGAGTGTCTTCAGTAGAGTTCACACAGATTAAAAGTGACAGTTGTTGGCAAAGGGTGCCTTAACAAGCGATTCTAATTGATCAGGTGTATTGGGAAATATATTTCATAAGAAGATGGTTGCCTGTTATGCATTCGATTAAGACATAAAAACCCGTGAAACGAATCTATTAGTCAAGGTGTAATAATCCAATTAGCCAATCATAGCCTCTTATTTTAAGGTAAAAATCGAATGATTTCGATTCGTTCTTCGAACCAGATACATTTAAATGGCTTCCTATTAACCAGCACTTAAATGGTTGCCTAGAGGCATTGCGGTCTTTACATAGACTAGCAGTTCAAGCGCTGTTTATATAAGTAAACTTTCAAATCAAGGGTTTTTTAATTGTAACATGTCATTAGTATTCCTCGGTGAAGCTGATGATTGTATTTTAGAAGAAAGAAGACGTGATCGCTTGATAATTTTATAGCAATATATTCATTATTGTAATATTATACTTTTCATCTTTCTCGCTGCTTGTATTTATACATTTGCGTAAAATATTAATCAGATAAAAATTACCATTGTGTAAGTGAGCCGGCCTACTGTGGCTGCTCGAAAGATATTTTTCACTCGTGAATAAATATTGCTCTCCCTATAAAAATCATGAAGTACAAAAAAACTGCTCCATAGTCCGTTAGAAATCAATCATTGATCCAAAAATCAACCTCGCTCGCAAAATTATTTGACTAATTGGAGGATGTAAAAGACATCTCGTCAATATGGCTGCCTGAGTTTGCAGCCGTCATGATACTCAGTTAATGAATCAAATCCTCAGAAAAACAAGAATTAATGATGGAAGAACTCGTTKAACTACGAGATCGGCCATATGCGTGATTGGTCAATCTAGTGAGGTTATTGGGCACTAGGCAAAATTCATTCCTCCTTTGAATTGTTGCAAAACAAATTGCTTACAAAGAAGTGAAACAACATACACAGAACCAATAAATAATACCATATTCGATCAGAAAAGGACGCAACTTCTACAATGAATGAGATTTCTAGTCTAAATGTAATGGCTTTGGTCAGTTACCAGCCCTTCCTCAAAATTCTCTTGATAATGGCATTCGATAAGATCACGAGATAGTGCTGTTAATATTTTTTCGGAACTTTAAAATGATTTCGAACAAAAAATCACGGTTAATTGAAACAATTTGTGTGTGATATGGAATAAGTGTATTGCCTTAGTGGTAATGTATGTAAGATAGTGGTTTATGTCAGTAAAGATGGTCGATTAAAACGCTATTTGATCGCAGAGGAACAGTTTTATTTATTTATTTATTTATTTTCATGAATAAGTGTAGCTGCCTAAAAAGATTAACTGTATTTTAGTATTAAAAAGACAAAAGAAGGAACATGTAGACATCTATTCAGTATCTTCCAAGTTGTTTTCTGTTGTTGTTTTTTGTCATCGTCGTTGTTGCTGTTGTTTTGACTTCTCAACTAATAAATTTCATTTTCATTCACAAAAAAAATCGCAAAACAATAGAAGTAGAAGTATTAATAATAGAAGATACTGTGTGCAAGAAAAACAAAAATTACAATAATCCCCCAGGGTCGAAGGAACAGAGCTCCAATTCTTGCATCGTTCTCGAAATTAACCCCCGATATGCTGTGCATGTTGTAATCCCATGAAACCGCACACGTTGAAAAAGCTTAGCGATAAATGTTGTAATGTATTTTTTATCACTACTTTACGACAACCATTAATGAAGAGTTTGTTTGTGTATTAGATACGCATTGCAATGAAAGGAAAGCTTATCAAAGCGAACTTACTGCATTAGTTCCTGCATTCATTTTAGCTCTCACGACTTTCAACTTTTAAGCTTTTTTGATGCATTCTGTGCTCGAAACAGGTGCGTAAAAAAAAAAAAAAAAAACAGCTTGTGGCCTTAAATTTCTTTCCTTAGGAAAATATCTCCCTTTTGTCTATTAGTTTAACTCAATTAACAAAATCCAATTTAAAGACAAAGACGAATATGAGTTTACAGTTATAGCATGTAAAAACAGCTTGTTGTCTTTCTTTCTTTCGGGTGAAAATTAACTCTCTGTTTTGACTTGGTGAAAGTAGCTAAACTTGCAAAGAACAAAGGAAATAATTTCATGTTGCAGAATAGTTAAATAATTATACTATTCCTATTAATACCATACAAAGTGAATACTATATCGCAAACTAAAAGCAATTTAGAATTGACTAAGGTAAAGTTGACAGTTCACGATGGCACTGATTCGAATCGTCATCTTAAATTACACTTAAAGTAGTTAAATAAAACCCCAAAGACCCCAAAAGTTGATATGTTATAGATATAGGTTTATGCTCTCTAATAGTCGACTAGCCTCTACTAATATCAACGGGTTATTGTTTGTTGCTTTGTGGCAAACATCCAAATCAGTCAGGACTCCAGACATGACTTTCTCGTCAATCCAAGCACCAGTTTTCCTCGGTTAGCAAGCTGGGGGCGATTGTGTGTGTGTTAAAATATTGATAATTTAATTTTTTCGTATTGTGGCATTTCTGATCCGGCAGTGTTTTTCACCACAATAATGAAGCATGTAAGGCTCGTTCGTTGAATCGTTTTTTGTGTTTACTAACTCACTGTTTTTATTTTTGATAAGCGCAAGCCGTGACACCAGACATCTTGTTGCAAGAACTCGCTAACGACATGATAGTCTTGGATGTCCCAGTTATTTAATAGAGACGACATAATATACAGAGATGGTTGCTTGGGAGCTTTTGCAAGTATGTTCCAATGTAATATCATCTGAGTAAATCAGTAGARGACGAAGATTCTTTACTTTTCTGTTTACTGTTGAAGGTGCTGGTGGTCGTTGGGTGTCTACGCATGAACAACGCTTCTCCTAGCTGTCAAGGTAGGCTAAATAGTTAATTCGGCGCTTGTTCATCAACTTTTAAAGTTTTCTTGCTTGTATTGTACCGTYCAACTGTGCCAACGCATGTCGTYAACAATCGTAGTGTCAGAAAGGGAAACAGACTGTCACATTTSAAATCTACAACTTGGTGCTCAAATACACCAGCGTGTAGGAAATTGASGCATTTCATATACGTTGCTACTCTTCGAGGTTTTAAGCGTTTTGTAATGTGAAGCTAATGTCAGATTTGTAGTTTTGCAATTAAAAAACCATTGAAATTTTTATTTCTTTGTGTATTTTTCATATTCAATCATGAGATTTAAGGTTTGAATAAGATAGTAAGCGTTTATCCGTATATAAATCCATCTAATCCCTTACTAATAACTTTAAACGTGCATTGGAAACATGTTTTGTTTTTTGTTGTTTTTTATAAACTTCATTCCAACAACACCTGTCATTTCGTAGACTTAAAAAGAGAATGAGAATACATTCCAGTTCTGAGATGCAATTTCCGTCCTTTCTGACAGGGTTCACATTAGTAAGACGAGAAGTGTTTGATTTCATGATTTTATAGTTTCARTTGTTATTAGAATTTCATTTGTAGTTGTGAAAAAAGACCGCCCCTTTTTATTTCAATAATGCTGGCTGCAAATCTCACTTTTTATGAATATATTTGATGCTTTATTTTTCATTTAAAGCGTAAATCAGTCAGCTACAGACGTACGGAKTTTCTAATTAAACACTTATAGTATTGATACAAATAAAAGTTCGATTTTAGGAATATTGTGCATAAGTGTAAAGCTAGTCAAATGTACGAAGAACCCTGTCAAATGTACGAATATGAAAAAGCCAGTCAAATGTACGAATATGATTCGAAAAAGCCAGTCAAATGTTAGAATGCAAAAAAGCCAGTCAAATGTCGAACGTGAAAAAGCAAGTTAAATGCACGAATAGCTAGTGTGAAAAACTTCAACCAAACCTACGAATAGACGAATGGCGGTYGATAATTCAAACTTGTGAAAAAAAACAAATGTACATACAATGACGCAGTCATTACTTCACGGTAAATTGATGTTTATTTTTCGCCAATTTGACAAATTATTAATTAAAAGGTATTTTGATTCAAGAAGGAAAAATACTAATTTCAATGCATTTGTTATTTCTGTGATGGTTTCGGTTACAAATCTAAGATTTGCTTTACAAAGGAGTCCGACTTTYCGGTGACTCAGACTTTGAAAACATCGCCCAAAACAATCTATCCCGTGATTATTTGATCACTATAATTACGTTCAATTAACAATTCTGTTTGCTTTCTTGATGTGCGAGCAATTTCTTGTTTTCAAAGCATTCATACTTTATAATCGCGTAGTCTTTGAAAACTCTCGTTTTATTATTGAAATCACTGCACGATTTCAATTCGATTCTAAGTAAAGCTGTGAAGCAACGTGTCGCAGGTTGAGGATTTTTRCTACAAAGAAATAAAAGCCATTCAAGATTTCTTCAAATTGKAAAGAGCCATCCTTTTTCAAAAGCTAATTCATTTAGTTTTTGTAATTACCCGTGTCTAGAAATGAAATTATCCTTGTCTAGAAATAGTATCATTTTTCATTTGTGTAACCGGYAACCTCAAACCTTTTTTCCATCAAGCCTCTCAGATAGCATTAAGTAGGGTAGACTACACAATCGGCGGATATCAGGGAAAAAAAGTATTTGAATACTTTGATCAAGCGTCTTTCTTRTAGAATAATAACTTTCTACACCATTTCTATTAGTCTTCACAATAATCTCAGGCATTATTACTGGTCTGTTTCCACTAGTTCATTAGTGAAATCGGACTTAAATGCTTGTGACATTAACCACAAGATCAAAACAATCATGGTTCTTGTGTTGAGACTCGTTTCGTCTTATAAAGAGCTCTTTTTGAAGAGTTTTTCAATTAGGCAATATAGGTTTGCCGTCATTTATCGTTGAAATCAAACACGCAGGGATATTCGTAGAGCACTAAGAAAGATTTTAAAAGGATCGAGAGTATATGCAGCTAAAGGGAAAGTTACATCCCCTCAAGACAGCGTGGTTTAACGACCACTTAACCCAATCAGAGCGCTTGTTAGACCTCTTTAAAGCGGTCACCATAAGGACTTTCTAATGCGGACGTTATGTATAGATTGCACGCTAAATTCTAAAATTATTAATTTTATTTTATTAATTTAATTATATATATTATAACGAAGAGGCAAGATTTTCTGCTACTCCGAGTTTCGTGCGTACGCACTCACCAGACAGTATTTTCAGAGGGCAAGTAGGAAACTTAGTAACAGCAAATCTTGTCGTTATTATATATGTACTTAGCTCTATCTACACTATATGTGTATTGAGCAGTCTTTAATGGGGTCAGCTACTTCCTCATGATTAATTTAATTAAATCTATAAATAGCGGTTGACTAGAGGATAGGGAGTAATAGATGTTGACCGCAATGTATTTAAAGATCGTGATAATACTATCGGTCAGCGGTCATGATATGTGACGATTGTAGTAATCAAACTTGTATCWCATTTCTAGACGAAAACTCTYCACCYTCCCCACCCTCTCCGCSGCCGCTCTTGTCACGATTCACAGATGGCGTGTATYCAGTTATAACAACGGAACAAGAGATCAAAGTACAGCTTGATTCACGGGAGGAATGTGCGCAGTTTTGCGTACAAGTAACTGAGGCWGGAATTTTGAACTGTACTGGTTTTCAACATGAAGGACRARGRGAGTGYTTGGTGAAGAGTTCCGAKTGGTGCAAACAAACGACAAACTCGTCCAATGGTACTTCTTCTAACTATATATTGAAAGGTGAAATTATAACGTGATTAATTCAGAGAAAAAGTTTAATGATTTATATTAACGAGTACCAACCATTTTAATTTAATATCTTCTTGTAGGTTACAATATCACGCATTGCACAAATAGTTCTTCTTCTTCTAAACAAGGTTTGTGTACAATGAAATCCCAGTAGTCCTTTGCGCGCCCAAACTTCAGAGCCAGGTAGCACCGCTCGGAACGGGTCTCAYGATAGGTTGAGAAAACAATGGACAAACAATAGATAAGTCTTCCAACAATATAACAAAACCTAACCTAACAATAGTGGTGCTGTACTTAAGGAGCAATCAAAAAGCAGGTTTCAATTGATACTGCATTACTGAAACTTCATTTGTCAATCGTCGTTTTTCTCGCGTTCTTCTGCGTCGTTTTACGAAAAAATTATCAACAATATAATTTTGCTTTMCAGTTTTTTAAAGTGTTTATTCATTCTTAATTTCATAAAACTAAAAAAGTTTTGTCTGGTTTTTGTAGTTGTCAATTCCGCTGTGGTTATAAACATCACTACTGTCATACTTAACGTCCAATGGCAGGAGACTTTGATGAACAGTACTAGCACTACCTATCGTAACCTATCGTCTTCTATTGAATACARTGTAAGTCTCTATAAATATTAGATTGGGTTTCCTGTGTTGATACACGCTAACTATACGGAATCGTACTCTTTTTCACTGAGTAACTCGTTCTCTTTCATTATCACCAGATTTTTCAGCTCTATGTCAATGATTCTGTGGTAAATGCCGTGAATATTCTGCAATACAGGTATGTATTATTTTGATCTTTTATTAAATCTTGCYATTTTTTATTTTATATATTTTTTTCAATTCATATTTACTTTCAGTAATCACACTACGCATGTCCAAGCCAAGTTGAGCATCGATTTTTATGGAAATGCGAGTATGACTCATTTTAGAATCCTTTTCACCGCCCTCTATCAGAAACGATTGCTGCATCATTTACAAATAGACACTGTTTGGGAAAATTGTAAGTATGTATTCACACGTTTGAATGGAAGTATAGATGGATGGGATGAATCAGTAAAAGTAATAAATAAATGGATGGTTGAATAGAAGTATRAATGAAAGACTAAAGAAAGAAATGAACAATTAGACAGGGATGAAATGAATCAATTATATCCATGCATTTTTTACTTATTTTTTCTCTTTCCACTCAGTACCCGGTAAACCACCGACGAATCTAACTGTCTCTCACTCGGACGATGGTACAGCAGTCTTATCATGGGCACATGCGTATAACAACCCTCAGATTAAAACTCTTGGCTATCGTGTATTGTATTCCTATGACAACCGTACTGATTCCATGGTAACAGCATACACCAAGMACGTTAAGTTAAAAGAACTAAAGCCATTGACCAACTACAGTATAGCTGTCATGASTGTGACTAACAGAGGGTTTGGGATTCAGTCCGTAATATTAACGACAACGACTTTGAAAGCAGGTACTGAAGCAATTAAATTACTGGAAAACCAGTCARCCACATTTGTTTATTACTTCCTATCACGTGACAAACACAAAATTGGTTTCCATAGCACCTCGTCCGTTGGTTGTAAACATCACAATTCTTCTTAACGATAAACACTGGTCTGATGATCTTCTAAATAAGACACATCTCGCGTTTATTTCGCTGAAAGACCAATTGAAAATCAATGTAAGTAGACGGAACATTGTTATAGGGGGAGGGGAGGGAGAGGGAAGCCTTTGATTTAGTCTATTTATTGGCTCATTATTGTTTTTAGATATTTTCACTATACAACAATCAAAGTGACTTGAGAGAGATTACAGTGTACTCGTTAAGGCAAGTACTTTATATGGAACATATATACATGACTAGCAAAGCTATTTGCGGGCCCAGATTTACTTTTGTAATAATTGTGTTATATTTTTTGTAAATAWAATTGAAAATTGAATTACATGAAAATTGGTTTTTAAGGATTTGATTTCATTATGGTTTGTATGTTTAGTAAGACAGTGCTTTATTTTCAGMCAGTTCAATATAAGTGACAGTAATGTATCAAGACATTTAGTTCAGGCAAAGATTGGAATGAGCTATTATAAGACTAACGACATGGTAGTGCTTTTCAAATCTATTTATAAACACCACAAGCTGAACAACATCACTGTTTCTCCAGTCCAAGATAACAGTAAGATAATGTTTCGTTGTTTTAATCATTTATCTCTTCCTTTTTTCCATTTATTTTTCCATTCATTCGTGTTTCCATTTCATTCATTCTCCTATCCATTCTTTCATTATCCATAAATGTACCCAGCGCTTGACGACTGTATATGTCCAAGCTAACAGGTTCTATTTATTCTCAGTTCCTGGAAAACCCGTCACCAATATTACCTGGATGTCTACCACCCCGCAAAGCATCATGGTATCATGGTCTYCCTCCCCCTCACCACAGTGTGGCTACGTAATTTTCTATCGTYACAATGCAACAATAGACATACATAACGTGACTGTCAACTCTACCTCCTCGAGCACAACAATCTACAATTTGCTTCCTTTGACACATTACGTCATTTGGATTCAGTCTATAACGGTCAATGGTCCTGGTATTCCAAGTGACGTCATTTCTGCTCTTACGATTGAACAAAGTAAGTATATTTACTAGCCGTAAACACGATATAAAACAAAGGAAACTAATCTACGCGTCTTGGAGTCAATACTCGACAGCTCGAATACTTGATGACTCGGTAACTCGTACTTTAGTAACTCATATACTCGTTAATTCTCATACTCAGTGTTTAATCGAGTTGCTCTACCTTAAGTTACCATAAAGAGGATAGACAAACGTCCAACGACTTTCCGTTTAGTTCCTCATACTGCTTGATGCTGATTGGTCCAACATAGTTCTATCCCTCCAGACTTAATAATCGTACTTTAAATCCTTGTTAAATGCCTAAAACGGTTATTAAACGAGTTACACGTTGAATATTGCACTAATCCCAAGAACCCACACTAACTTTAATTATAGTTTAATTGTTCTTTAATGTTTTCKTTATTTTTKTGTTATCTTAACAGTRGTGAACGTAGATGTTAAAGTGTTGTTAGTGAAYGAGACATGGAACGATGACAATCACTTGCTCAATCTTTACATAAAGCGAAATGTAAGTACAACACTGATGTCCCKTGTGCGAAACTCGTACCGWGACGCGGCAGTTCAAATGTCTGTATGAACGTTTCCTTRACAAATATGARTAGCGATTGCTCAGAGAAATTGACTTTGTATGTCGTCGTCTTTATAATTTGAAATAACTGCAATAATGAGTCTACTGAAGTTCACATATTTGTACTATTTTACTTCYAAATTCAAGATTTCGATTTGCTTGTATTTTATCCTGGTCGTTATACAGATGATTCATTTGTATTGAGGGCAGTGCTTTGCCCGATAGTATTGATCAGGTATAGAATATACACTTCATTTCTCGTTCTAGGTAACGAACTTGTTCCTCAACGTTTCACAGTTCAGAAATACGACTTGTGTTATAAGGTATTTTATTATCATCACTAATAATTTTCATCACCACATCAATATCAYAATGATTATCAATCTTATTTYCAGAAATGCCAGTCGTGGTGTTGTGGCAGAAATATCTGTGAGCTTCGGTCAAGATGTAAAAATGCGTCATTTTTCAGTGCTGTATTATGCTGTGTATGTTATTGGACATCTTGGCAGCATTGCAGTCGAGCCACAGTCAGATACAAGTAAGTACAAGAATCAATGATTGGATGTTTGATAATGGTAATGATGAGGCTAACAAAGAATAGGGCTTTACAGTGGTTAACAACAACAACGACAACAGTAGCAGCAGCAACAACAACAACAGAAGTAACTACAACAACAACAACAACGACAGCAGCAGCAGCAACAGTAGCAGATGCAACAGCAACGACAACGGCTACAACAACAACAGCAGCAACAACAACAACAACAACAGCAGTAACAACAACAACAGCAAAAACAACGACAGTAACAATAACAGTAGCAGATGCAACAGCAACAACAACGGCTACAGCAGCAACAGCAACAATGACAACAGCATCAACAGCAACAATAGTCGTTTCTTTGCATACATAAACCAATAGACGTTGCTTAAAGATGT